GGGTGGCTTAAGTAACAGAAATGTGTTTTTTGATAGTTCCGAGGCTGGGAGACCAATACCAAGGTGTTGGAAGGATTGATTTCTTCTGAGGCCTGTCTGCTTGACTTGTAGATGGCCATCTTCAACTTCTTTCTTCTAATGGTCCTTCCTCTATGCACATGGGTGTCTCTGTCCTAACCTCCTCCTCTGATTGTTTTAAATGAGACTGGAGCAGTTATGTTAGAATACATGGGTGCCTCAGTATGTTTATCTGCCAATATTCCTGCCTCAAGGAAAAAAGACACCTCCACCCAGTCTTCCACCTTTTTTTTTTTTGGTTCAATATCTTTCTTGTCATTTACATATGAAAATGTATTCTTAGCAAACAAAATAGTACACTATGATGCTTAGCTTTCCTGTATTTAAACCCAAAGTTATTTATTTCATAGAATTTTTAAGATATCAAAAAGATAAAGCTTAGAGCTATGTGTATAACATCCCAATTTATCCTTTCCATCTACCTTCATCATCATCATCGTCATCGTCGTCATCATCATCATCTCTATATGTGTAGGAAGAACTTGAAGGATATAAACTACAAGTGGACTTTCTTCTGAGAAGGGGATAGACTTTCATTTCTACCTTTATCCTTTGAATATTTGGATTTTTTACAGTGAGCATGGATTATATTTTTACTTTTAAAAAGATACATTTTTAAAGAATTAAGTTAAAAGATAAGATCTTAGCTATTTGAATATTTCTTGAACTAGAAAAACCTCAATTATTTTTTCCTTTTTTGCTTACGTATTAAAAATGTATAAAATCAATCAGTTAAATACTGTCAAGAAAACTTCAATAGTTTGATTCTTTTTGTGTGTGTGTGTGTGTGTGTTTTTTTTTATCCTCATTCAAGGACATTTTTCCATTTTTTGTACAGACAGAGTGGGAGGGAGAGAGAGGAAGAGAGAGAGAGGGAAACATCGATGTGAAAGGGACACATCGAGTGGCTGCCACCCGCACGACCCAACCAGGGCTGGGGACAAACTGCAACCGAGGTACATGCCCTTAGCGGGAACCGAACCCGGGTCTCTCCGGACCGCAGGCGGATGCTCTAACCGCTGAGCCAAACCGGCCAGGGCAATAGTTTGATTCTTTAAATCTATTTAATATAATCACTTAGGTAAGACATAAACTTTGATTTATGTGGTTGGTTTTTTCCCCCCTCTTTTTCCACATTTTCTGTAGTAAGCAATATTACTTTTATAATAAAGAGTATTTAAGGTAGGCAGATATTTATTTTAATTTTTGTTTATGTTAAGGTTGATATGTTGTAGTTTTAATAGATTTTCTCCATAATATTTATTGTTCTTTTGTTCTAACTGGGAAGGGAAATGTCAGAGTAGATGCTATATAAAGTTATTTTGTGAGATGGCTATTATTCTAATGGTATTATTCAAAATTGCTAAAAATACACACAATAGGACTTATGGAAAATGCAAACTGCTGGAATACAGTTTTTTTAGTAGCACATTTTTCTTTCCAAGGTCAAAGACCTCGATCTTGATTATACTCCCAGGGGTATGTTAACGTCCCTCCTTTTTCTCCCCAAACTTCCTAATTTCATTTTTAAATTGTGTAATTGTATTTGTCCTTTGTATACATAAATAAACTATTTTAAAATAAATTTTGTTTGGTGGCTGATTAGTTTTATGAATTTGAAATGGATGATAATAAGAGGCCACAGGTCTTGTAATATCCCTGGAAATCGGGAAATTCCATAGAGATCATGCCCCTTTGACCAGATTCATTCTCAACTTGGAAATAGCTTAGCTTTCACCATCCTCCAACTTTCTGCAAAGTGTTTTAAGAATCTAGCTTAAGGGAATAAAATCTGAAAATTGGAGGTTTATTTTTCTTTAAAAATATAAACTGAGTATTAGTATTTTTCAGACAATTAAGAGCTAACATTTAAGGGCTTTGGTTACAGTTCCTTTGCTGCTGATTAGGTATTCCTGGGTGGTGATTAGTGAATGTACAAATGCAATCATTTGGTAGGGCTTAATCACTCATATAAGAGGGAAGTAAGTTACCCAGAAAGTGAAATTGAAGCTTGTATAACTTCCATTAACCTTATTTTTTAATAGCAAAAAAAAAAAAAAAAATTTGACTGAATTAGGAATATTGAGTCATGTAAGATAAATTGTGGTTTAAAAGAAGTAGAGAACCTAGGGAAATATACGAACATATTGCTATACTATTTATTGTATTGTCTGTGGTACAGGTAGCTTATCAATAATTGGCTCTTACCATATCGGGATAGATTTCCCTCAGAGAGAGTATAAAGTGCTACTTAAGCAAGGGCCTCTCCTTCTTTCTTTGTACTGGATGACTGAGTACCCACAATTATAGCATGGGCAAGGGGAGGAAGTACTTCCCCCCCAAGTTTAGTACTTTACTCAAGATTGAGAAGAGAGATACATGGCTATATCTTTTACTTTTTGTAGGTCATCTGAGCCTGGAGGAGAGTGGAATGCTGTATTGGGCAAAGGTGTTTTTTGTTGTTGTTGTTTTTGAGTTTTTGGTGAGACGGGTTACAGGGCCTGAGTCCTGAGAGTGAGGCCTGGGAGTTTGAGCAGCTTGGAATGATGAGCCCGGGATGTCTGTTATGGGGAGGCCAGCTGGCTGTCCAGGTCAAGCATTGTAGGGTGCCATGACTCAGTTAGGTTCAGGGGTTGTTCTTCACATGTGTCGTTCAAAAGCTCAGCTTTGGAGGCTTTCCCAGAGGACCAGCTTCTTCTTGGGGATTATTTGATACTAATCAAATCTATAATGCTAATGCACAATTGACCCTTGAGCAACATGGGTTTCATCTGGATCCTCTTCTAAGTGGATTTTATTCAGTAAGTATTGTACATTTATTTCCGTTTCCTTACGGTTTTTTAAATAACATTTTTTCTAGCATACTTTATGATAAAAATACAGCAAGTAACATATAACTAAAAAAATATGTGTTCATTGACTGTTTATGTTAAAATCGGTAAGGCTTCCAGTCAACAGTAGGTTATATGTAGTTAAGTTTCTGAGGAGTCAAAAGTTATATGTGGATTTTTGACTGTGCAGGGGATTAGCATCCCTAACACCCATGTTGTTCAAGGGTCAGCTGTATAAATCAAAATGCTACCCCTACTCCAGCTTTCCAGCCAAGACTTCTGGGTCTTCATTCCTAGGGTGACCAACTGTCCCAGTTTGCCCAGAACTGTCCTGGTGTGAGCCCTGAAAGTCCTGCATCCAGAAAAATCCCTCAGTCTTGGGGGAACCCCTCAATCCCAGGAGGGTGGTTGATCACCCTATTTTACTTCCCTGAGCCTGTAGCAGCTCAGTGTGGGAGGAGGGAATGTACTTTCACTGCCGCTGTGTACAGTCTGTTCCCTGTAGTGTATGGCTCTCAGCCCTTGCACAGCCGTACAACCCAGGATGCAATTTCAAGGAGGAAAAATATTGCTACGTCTAAGTGTGCCCGGATATTGTTACTCTTCTGATAATCTGTTGCTGCGTAACAAATGGCCACAAAATTCAGAGGCTTATGACAGTGTTACTTCATTGTCTCTCTTGGTTTCTGAGGGTCAGGGATTTGAGAAATCCTCAGCTGGCAATTCTGGCTCCATTAGTACCCTAATGGCTACAACTGGAACAGGGAGGACTGGTCAGACACCTCTCTGTTCATGTCATCTCAGGTCGGCTCTCTGTGTGGGCTGCTTTGAGCTCTCTCATGGCACGGTTGCCTCTAGGCATTTTGATATTTACCTGGCATTTCAGGGTTCCAGAGTAAGTGTTCAACCAAGTAAGAAACTGCCTTGAATGTCACCTAGGATATTATTGCAAAACATCATTTTCATCATAGTCACAGGACTCAAAGGAGGAGGCATAGATCCCACTTCTTGATGATTGAAATACCAGTGTACAACATGTTGGGATGGAGAGATTATTGCTGCCATCTTTGGAAAATACAATTCACCACATTTACCTGGGCCCCAAATGTATTTTTCATTAATAAATGTAATGAAGTTGTTAAAATACAATTTTTCCTCATGAATTTTCATAAAGCAATTTTCATTTCGAATGAAAACCAAAAGATCAGTCTATAAATGTTTCTTGAATTGTTCTGAAAACCCATGCTCACCATTGTTTTACAGTATTGACTATTTATATATCTATCATCTATCTATCTATCTATCTATCTATCTATCTATCTATCTATCAATCATCTGATACATATCTCCCTGCCCCCAAAATAAGCCAGCTGATCAAGATGAGTGTAGCAGAAGTTCATATGCTTCCATAGTAAGAGTTTTAGGGTATGTGTGTGGTGTATCCATGCACATGAGCTCCCAGGGCGGGGTGGGGGGCAAGGAGGGACCAACCATAAAAAGACATCAGTGACACAGGCTGACTCAGTTTGAAGGGAGGAGTTCACTGCAGGAAAGAACTCTGAAGACTTTGATGGCTGGAGAGGGAACTAAGGTCAAGGGCAGTAATAGTCATTTCGAAGTGAAGGGCAGGTATACATTTGGCATCACTTGAGTGTGCTCTTCTAGTTTAAAATATGGATATTAATATTCTGGCTCAACTTGCTTAGACTGTTTCTCTCCATTGTGACGATTAAGACCTATGAGTTATTCTTTTTGATAGTCTCCAGGTTCTTACTACCAGGTAATAGAAATTGGGATTTTAAAAAAATGTAAAGCAATTATGGGGGATTTGCTGACAGCATTGTTTTAATAGAATTTCAGGGAGGCATGCTGCAGATTTTAAGTTTTAAACTGATTTTTTTGCTTGATATGTATTTAATATTCAAGTTTTATAATATAATATTCAACTCCTACGTGAGTTCTATTGTTTTGTTCTAAACTCATTATTTTGTTGGAAAAAAATGTCAAAAATTTAAAAAATAGGATAGCAGAAAGATTATAATTCTAAGCCACCGCTTGTTGAAAAAGATACCTTATGTGTTTGTGTTGTAGGAATACTGTAATACAATCCAGCTGGACTCTGGGATAGATTACCGGAAAAGGGAACTTCCTGCTGCAGGGAAGCTCTACTACCTGTAAGTTTGTTCTTCCTCAAATTTTAATTTTCTAACTTTAATACTAAACTTTTAATTAATAATTATAATTATTAGTTGCTGTCTAGTAATTAGGAAAATATTATAAAAATAAGCAGGGTAATTATTAGAACATGAAAAGCTAGTTTTGAAGCCCACGATTTAAAAAATACAAAATGTTATAACATTAACTTCCTTAAACTGTTTTTTGCCATCCGCATTGGCATGATTTATAATGTGTGATTAGATGAAACCCTAATTAGTTTTTTGGGGAGTAGTGAGTGATGACAGATGGTTAGAAAGTAATTAGTATCCTCTTTTAAGACACTGTAGTATTAAGAGAATATCTTTATTGTGCTAAAGTAATTAATTACTTGTGGATATCTTCTGTCAGATGTGCCATTTCTGTTCCTCGAAAATTGTTGTTTTATTTCTTCAGACAATCTGTTTGTGTTTATCATTGTTGATTGACTTCCATACATAACTATGTAAACTATACATACAAGTACAACTGGATACATTTTGTCTTTTAAAAGCGAAAACTTTCCTGTGCAGGACCAATTTATAAAAATACATGTCTTCAGCATTTGCAGTTAATGCTGAAAAACAAATATAGTTTGTTTTAAAATGTTATTTGTGAGAACCTGAAAAGGAAAAAGTGCTTTACAAATGCAAACTGTTGTTTCGTGTATGCTGCCAGAGTCTGGCACATCATCGGTCCTGGCACATAGATCTAAGTCAGCGATGTTCAACTTCTTTCCTCTCATGGCACATGTAAACTAATTACTAAAATTCTGAATCACACCAAAAAATATATTTTTTGCCAATCTGACAAAAAAAAAAAAAATAGGTATAATTTTAATTCATTCACAAGTGGCTATTGTTGTGTTGGCTGTTGTCATTTTTCAATTTGACAATCTAAGGGGAAAGCAGTCAGTGCCTCTGACTAAGTAGTCAGGTATTGCATGTTTTAAAAATTCTTGTGACACACCAGTGTGCCACGGCACGTGGTTGAAAATCGCTGGTCTAAGGGCTAATTGTGATTTAACTCAAAGGCATGTTTCTGCTCATTTAAATTTTGATGACAATGTGCATACTAGAGGTTCAGAAAAGTTCTCGTCTCTGCCACCTTGTAAGAAGTACTTTACTGTTTCTGAAGCAGAAATTAGCTAGAAAAATCACATAATTAAAATTGCATACTTTACAGTGTACCAAGGGGACTATTTCAGTTTATTATTCAGATTCTGATGATTATTTATAGGAGGTTCTTCATCTGCCCTTAAGTACTTTATCTTTAAAGTACATTATAATTTTAAAAAACTGTTACAGCACTTTTTTTCTAATTTAACTTAGACTCTCCTCACTCCCGAGTTTCTTTTATGTTAGTGTTTTCTGGACTTTTTATTTTTCTGATATTCCTTATTCTTAGCTACCTACTTCTTGCTATTCCAGATGTATAGTAGTTAGGAATTAACTTCTTCTTCTTCTTCTTTTTATTCTTCAAAGAAGATGATCTTTGTTATCTTTTTCTCACAAAATGTATCCATATGTGGTGGAAATAAAACATTTTTCTAATGGGAAGTTCCCTTGGTGGAATTTCCAGTAGGTGTAAGGGCTGCTTTTGCTTGGACAGAGCCATTTTCTCTCTGACCTACCTCGTGTTGCCCCTTCCTCTTCCTGACAAAAGTACAGTTCTAACAAATGAAATTCAGGTTGTGCTTAAAACATGCACTGGAGGAAAACAAAGGCTAACAACATTGGAGTCCAGGAAACTAGAATCTACAAAGGATTTCTTGAAACTCTGGATTCCTTAACATATATATAAATTCATTTAATACTCAAGGAAGGTAGATTTGGTCATGAATTTAACATCAAAGGGCTTTCCCCATAGTCTGGTACCAAAAAGAGAGAGCTTAGGGGCACACCTCATTCATCAGAGGGTAAGGCAGATATGTGTCCCTGAGGAGAACTGGGCATTTAAATCATCTGAGAAGTGAGAGAATAAGATTAGACAAGGTGCTAGGGATATAACTTATATTGTTTTACATGAGCCCTTGGATAGAATTTCGTTTATAACAGAATGAAAGAAAATTGCCTGGGATCATAGTAATTTCTGATTTAATTAGATTTCTTTTTATCCTGTTCTTATAGGAAAACATCAATTTCTCCTCATAACAGATTTTAATGTGCTATGCTATATATTGCCCTATTAAAGCACGTGTTTATTTTATTACCCTCTGCTTAAACATCTGGAATCTGTTCTTGAATATGCAAGTCCAGACTACCCCTATGTTGACCTCACTAGCATCTCAGGGGCCTAAAAAGAGAATGTTTCTAGCTTCCCTCAAGGGGAGTACCGGGCACTATCTCAGAATTGTATATAAGCAAAAAATCTTATATGTGCTCCTTAAGTAGAAATATTCATTAACTCAGTATTTTACTAGTCTAACTTTCCAAAGCCAATTAAAAATGTCCCCAAACACAAGTCAAATAATATCAAGAATTACCAAAGATGTTTAAAAACTACCCCAACAGTTGACACGGAACGATTTCTATGGTTTATAATATTGTCTGGTTTACACAAGAACTAATTCATAAAAGGCATTTTATGTTTGTGTGTAATCTTATTTCATTTGTAGTTTATCATCACATTAAATTTAGATATTCCTGACTGTCTTGTTTATAAAGTTCCAGATGTTTTTACCTATCCCAAGAAGTTTTCAATCTCATATAAAACAAACGAGAATTTAAATTAGCAAGTTACAAACCACAAAGAGCTTGAGTGCAAATATCCAAACTTTACATAGATTAAAGTACCCCATGGTTGTCCAGTTTTTCATTCTGCTGTAACCACATGGTCTTCCAAGAGACGAGCACAGTCATTTTTTTGTTGGTTGCTTGGTGGATCAGGCTCAGTAGTAGATCTCTGTTTGTGGAATGTAGTTTGCCTAAATCCAAACAGGTCAACCAAGCATTGGGCTTCCTTTTGCGTTTGGATGGGGGCTTAGACCAGTACATAATTTATTTTGAATTGCCCAGTGTTTGCCACGAGTGGTCCCATCCCATGCCTTCCAGAGAATTTAACTGCTTCAGATTAGCTCTCTGCTTCGAGGCTGGTGGCACTAGAGGTTATTGTTTTATATATAAAATGAGCATCTCTTTTCAGACAAGGAAATATCACTGCTGAGGGATGCATGGGATTTGCCCCAGGTCGTTTCCCTGTCACTTCTGTGAAGGTTCTGGTTTCCTGGGGAAGACACAAGAGACCTGGGTCAGAGACAAAGGAATTTATTTCTCTTGGCACAGATGGTATTTTGTGTTGGTTCCCTTCTTGCTCCCTAGTCCCATTGGGTGGGGGATAGTGAGTTTTGCTGAGGGCTCAGATGGATGCCTGTATCGGCAGTGGATTGTGTTGTAGGAGAGGAACTCTGAGTTTGAGGAATGTACTATTTTATAGCCAGAAGTAAGCACACTTGCTTTGTGTCTCAAAGTAGACATTGTCTTATCCCTTAAGGTTTCTCACTACAAACACAACCTTGAGAAATGGTTAGGGCCTTGTGTTCTTGGCAGACTCAGCAAGATGCATAGGTGAACGAGAGTCTCATGGAGGACCATTTCTTCAACAGGGGACATTTACCAGATTTTCAACCTTAAAGAAGCCAGGCTTTCTTCTTTTACTTCATTTAGCTTCTATTTACCAAAGTCACCTATCACTTCAATAAAATTATATCTGAACACATTACTCAGTTATTTAATACGTCAGTTAAATTGTCTCAAGACTATTTCAGTTCCATTTATATGGGGACTAGGCATCATACTGAAAATGATGAAAAATATAAGTTACAACTTTTCAGACACAGCCCTGTAATTCACATATTTTTACCTGGCTAATATAGTAAAGACTTTCATTCATCTTTTGAACATTTGTAAAAAAGAAGTTTCTCCTTAAATACTTTTACCAATGGTAGTTTCATCTGTCAAGTACTCTTAATATTCCACTTGGGAAACATCTATTCCAAATAGGACATTTCTGAGACTATATCTTTGAACACCATTAAAAAAAAAAAAAGTGTGTTGGCAAAAACACAAAGCTGCAGTGTTACGGCTCTGTTTTTGAAGGTGTGTGAAAACACAGACTGGAGCTCATACAAGTTAAAATGTACTTCCCCATCATGAAAAACTTCTTATTTCTACCCGGCTGATGTGGCTCAGTGGTTGAGTGTTGACTCATGCACCAAGAGGTCGCTGGTTCAATTCCTGGTCAGGGCACATGCCCAGGTTGTGGGCCAAATTCCCAGTGAGGGGCATGCAGGAAGCAGCCAATCAATGTTCTCTCTCATCGATGTTTCTAGCTCTCTCTCCCTCTCCCTTCCTCTCTCTCTGAAATTAACAAAGAAAAAAAACCTTCTTATTTCTTGTCTGTGGTATTCCCTCCATATACTATCCCACTCTCAAATGAGAGATACAGAGCATTGAAAATTTAAGACATTTCTTAGCTTGATTGCCACATTTTCTTGTACCTAAACTTTGGTGGAGATCTACCTTCTGCCTGGAATGTTATCTTCTGGTTTGGTCTCCCATTGCAGGTGTTTCTGACCCAGACATTGTAATGTATAGTTTCAGTCTTAGTTTTTCTTACCAGTTAACGTACAAGCCCCATCATTTCCTGTTCCAGTTCCTATCGAAGAACCTCTGAAACATCTGCCAATAGAAGCAACTTGAAAATGTTAAGTCTAGATCCCATCCTTGTAGACTGTAATTTGTTTTAGTTCCATGTACTAGACTATCCATAGTCCCCTAGCAGGCTGTATACCTACTCCATTGAAACAATTTATTTCCCTTCATAGAAACAAAATTTTCTGTGAACTTCTACTGATTATGGGCCTGTTATGCTCCTTTTCCCTTCAGGTCCCTGAATTATCTTGTGTAACTTTTAGAGTCTTCTATGTTCATATCATTCCTATTTCTGACACTAGTTTACATGGTGTTGCAATGGAGCAGTG